TCTTCACAATGTGGCGACTCAGCACCCCGAATACAGGACTAGCATTCAAGTCATTTCTCAAAGAGTAGATTTATTATAAAGGCAAATTGGGTCCCCTGTTGCTCAGTTGCTCTAGCCCTCTCTTGCCTTTTTCACTTGTGCCATGGGATGACAGAGGCTGAAGAACAAAACCAAAGGTCAGTTCCAGAGTCTGGAACCATGAGAAATAAACAACTGTTTTAAATAAAGCACTCAGTCTGCTGTATTCTTTTATACAGCACAAAATGGATGAAGAAAGGGCACCAGTGCATTTTTGATTATAATTTTTGGGGAAAGAAATATGCTGCATGGTTCACCTAGAGTCAAATAGTCTCCATAATGAAATTTATAGGCATACCAGGGATAGGGAGTAAGAAATAAAATTTCAGTCACCTGATCTGCCGTTTCTACCCTGCCATATAGTAGTTTTGTATAGTAATAAATGCTTCAGGTTATGTTTTGTATATCCTCATAACAGTGTTAGCTATTTTAAATTCATTTTAATTAAATATTCTGGTAAATAATTGGCCAAATAACTTTATCAAATGTTTCCTAGGAGAAGCAAAACTCACAGTCTGAGTTCACTATGGAAAACTTGGCTAGGACAGTAACTGATTTATTTGTTGCTGGGACAGAGACAACAAGCACCACTCTGAGATATGGACTTCTGCTCCTGCTTAAGCACCCAGAGGTCACAGGTAAGAGCACAGATGATTAGTATAGTGAAGTGCAGAAACGATGCTCAGTAGATGTTGCCAGGGTCCTCCGTCTTTTGTTTTTCTCCGGAAAGAGGAAAGCTCTAGAAAAAGTTACTTGTATTTGCCATCTTGTAGAATATTCTCTCCAAGTGTTTAGTGGAGTGAATGAAATCAAAACTTGTACCCTAAGTTACAGTATCATCGAATTTTTGCAACACCAGGGTAAAAGAGAAAAGCATAAAGCCTTTCAGAGAATTCTATTAGGTCATGTATAAAGGAATAGGTTCAGAAATTATCGGAATTCTCAATATTATTTTGCATATTAAAAGGAAAGAGTATGTTCAAACATGCGTGATTGCCACAAACTTTATAGTCTATTTTCTCTTTCTCCAATGCTGGAGGCTGAGCTCCATCAAAATATTAATATTTGCAACTAATTTGGAGGACATCATGAGCTCCAGCTGTCAGGACACCTCATGTAGGAGAATGAGCATGTCAGGCAGGTTGCGGCACTTCAGAATGGGCTTGGTGGATAAGGCATGTTGAGGGGAGACTCCAAGAACGAGGGAGAAGTGATCGATAATCTGTGATTTCCCAATAATTGGGAAATTATTAGCTGGAGTTTGAAACATCCACGTGAGCATTTGAAAGTAATTCTAACTTGAGCTATAGAAATTATGAATTCAAGTAAAAAGACATTTTTATGCCCAAGAAAGTACTAAAAATGTAATGTAATCACAGTTGTCTTACCAGGGAAGAATATTTATGTCGTCAGAATGATGTAAAAAATGAATAATGATATAAGCAGAGATTGTGGTCTAAATATATTCTGTTAAATAGAGTGAGAGGAATTGTGTGTGTGTGGGTGTGTATCTGTGTGTGTGTGTGTGTGTGTGTGTGTGTGTGTGTGT